AAATAAGAAGTGTTGGCTTCCTAGTCACCACACTCATCGAGAATTGGTCTGTGATCAGAGATCACTCTTGGAAGGCCTAGCTGCTTAATTGCTTTGAAGCTATCACACCATACAGAGGAGATTAGGAACCTGTCGATTCTGGATGCTTGCATTGAGTATTCCCACCTGAACCATGTATGGTAAGCACCCTATAGAGGAAGGTCTATGATACCAAATTCCAGTATAGTGGCTGAAAAGGATTTCATTGCTCTGGACCTTCTAATATAATTGTGTCTTTCACTCTCATACCTACTGACATTGAAGTCACCCACAATTACGGAATTACCCGTTGTTCATTCCAAATACCCCTGATTGCTACAAGTTCAAGCCAAAGTTCCGTTCTTTCAAGATTTGTGTGTGGCCCATAAACCCTGTAAAACACCATCTGAATTCTTCATGAGTAACTTCATACATGACAAGGTGTAGGAACCTTGATGAGTACCATTGTTTGCCCACTGTCTTTTGTCCCATAGGATTATAATTCCTCCACTATTTCCTATTGATTTCAATTTTGCCCACTGGACCGAACGATTGCCCCACACTTGTCGGACCAGTCTTCTATCTTTGTTTCATGTAAACATACAATGTCTGCCTTCCATTTTTGAATCGGTGATTTAACTGTACTCCTTTTATTAGTGTCATTCAAAACCTGTACATTCCAGCTTAAATTTTTTATTTTCATCAACGAATGCTTTGTAATACCTATCCCTATCCTCTTGCCATTGTAGGTCAGACCCGATAGCATCCTAGGAACCTCAACTCTCTTTAACGACAAGGATGAAGCTTTGGAATCTCAAAGAGGGCCTTTAACAAGATCTCATGCTAAAGAGGTGCAAAACAAAATCATTGAACTTCAAGAGCAAATAAAGAAGTAGTTAATTGGGAGAAAGAGCTCAAGGATAAAGGATATGAATCGGCTAGTTGTTACAATAATATTTGGCCCAAATTCATGTCCAAGAAGAGGTGGATTGGAACCCAAGAGACTTCCTTTGATGAAGGTCCAAATCAGCCCACTTTTGGACCAATTGGCACCTAAAAGTCTGACCAAACTTGTAGCCCAAGAAGTCGCCATATTTTTATAACTTAAAAAGAACTTACTTGCTGACCAAGAAGGGTACATTACTAGAAGTTGAGTGCAAGTTGGTGACAAATTGCCTCCAAGATTTTCAAGATCCTATCCAAGATTGGTTTGGGACTTTCAAGATCCTATCCTAGATTGGTTTTAACTTATTTCCATATATTTTGGTACTAGATTTATTGCTTTCCTAGGTAGTTAAGGTTATGTTTTCCTTTTCCTAAGATTGTTGGAGTTACTTTACAAGATTGACTTAGTTTTTGTTTCCTAGTGTTTTTCCTTTTCCTAAGATAGTTAGACTTGTTGTTCAAAGTAGTTTAGGACTTTATTTCCTAATTTTTTTAAGCCTTATTTTCGTGACCCCCTCCAACCAATATAAAGGGTGTCTTCTTTGTTTTTGGAGTAAGGTTATTACAGACTATTATCAATAAAAACTGAGAGATTCTTCTTTCACTCTTGTGTGTGGTTACTCTTGGATTTATTGTTCAACCTTCAAGGCTCAACTTAAGGTGGTAAGATGAATTGTTCGAAATCTTAGATCACTTCTAGGTATTCAAGAAGGGTGATAAGCTTAGGCTTATTATTGTTCAAGCTATTCTAAAGGGTCGGGTTTCACAATCTCTCTCTTATTTTTAATTCTCTGCCAAAGACGATTAATTCTTCATTAGCTAATTGTTGTTAGAATTTAATCTCAAGAATAAACTTCTAGAGTTTCTTGAATTCAATCTATCTTTAATTTTTGTCTTCTTTTTTGTATCTTTATTTTGTGTTAGCTTCCGCACGTTTCTTAATTTCCTTGTTTTTATTTAGTAATACTTGGACCCCTATCATGTTGTTATCAAATTGTATCAGAGCATAGTCTAATCAAGATTTCAATGTTGATGATCTGGGAGGTTCTTGAGCCAAAAAAAACCCCAAAAAGAAAAACAAAAATCAGCTAAAAAACAAAAAAATCAAAGTGTTATTGCTCATTATTAATTTTCAGAATTCAAGTGTTATTTGGTTTCTAAGTCAAGAAAGGAAATAGGAAGACGCGATCCTAGTTCTTGAATATTAAGGTAACTTCTTTCCTTATTCTTGTGGGTTTTGGGTTTCTTAAATTCTTTCCTTTTTTTCCCCTACTAACAAATTTCTATTTTTCCTACGATCCTAGTTCTTGAATATTAAGGTAACTTCTTTCCTTATTCTTGTGGGTTTTGGGTTTCTTAAATTCTTTCCTTTTTTCCCCTACTAACAAATTTCTATTTTTTTGGCTCAAGAAAAACAAATTTCTATTTTTCTTGAGCCAAAAAAACCCCAAAAAGAAAAACGAAAATCAGCTAAAAAAACAAAAAAATCAAAGTGTTATTGCTCATTATTAATTTTCAGAATTCAAGTGTTATTTGGTTTCTAAGTCAAGAAAGGAAATAGGAAGACGCAATCCTAGTTCTTGAATATTAAGGTAACTTCTTTCCTTATTCTTGTGGGTTTTGGGTTTCTTAAATTCTTTCCTTTTTTTCCCCACTAACAAATTTCTATTTTTCCTAGGTTTGGACCTTCACTTCCCTTTCTTTTCCTAACTCCGTATTTTCATCAATAAGGGTTGTGATTAGTAAGGTTTATTAATAAATCTAAATATTAACGACCAAGGGTTGCTTTGAGTGGAAAAAGGCAAGAGAAGTGAGAGCATTAGAGGGAAAAAGCCAAATTTGAGAGATACATATTGCTTTAAATATTTTTTTCAAGATGTCTCAAACAGGTAGTTATGAAGGAGGCAAGATATGACTCAACAGCTTGAAAAGTCGAACTTACAGTATGTTGTATGGAAGGAAGACGATGGTAAAGTTATTTTTCAAACTAGAGCTAAATTGTTATCTAAGATTTCTGCCCTTAGAATTAACAAAGAGTTTGGCTATAACTCAATTAGCACTTATATTGTAGAGAAATTGAACTTATCTTATGTTGAGCATATTGAACCCTACATGTTGAAAGGAGTAAAGGTAGATAAAAGGGGTGCTATTGGAAGGTATGAGGATAAGATCTGGTGTGATGTCATTCCCATGAATAGTTATCATATCTTGGTAGGAAACCCATGGTATGTCTATAGAAGAACTTCGTATAGATTAAAAAAATAAATACTCTTGAGGTTAACAGGAAGAAACTCATTCTTGGGCCTTTGATTCCCTCACAAATTTATGAAGATGAAAAGACTATTAAAGAAAATATGAAAAAATATGAGAGAGAAAAGAATGAGAGGAGTAAGGCAATGCATGTTGACATCCCAATAGAGGAAAAATGAGAGGTTGTATTGAGTGAAAAGAATGAAATGTCAAGTGAGGAAAAGAGTGAGCTTGAGAGAAGGAAAGAGAGAAGGCCATGAGATAGAAAAAGGCCATGAGGTAGAGAGAAAAAAATAAGAGGGTTTGAGTAAAGAAAAAGAAGAGATCTTTGGTAAGGGAAAAGAGGCTAGGGGTGAGAAAAAAATTAGTCTTGTGATAAAAGCCAAAGAGAGTGTAAGTGAGGAAAATTTTTATTTACTACCTAACCCACTGACTCTTTCTTCGTTTAGTTCTTGTGATTTTGTACAGCCAAGTCTTGGAGAGCCTTTTGAAAGGGGTAGTGAGGCGTATGAGATGGTGGAAAAAGGATACAATTGGATTAGAAGATGAATTTGGCTAAATCAATTCTTGTTTGAGGGTGGAAGATAAAGGCTTGGTCAATTTCTTTGTTATTGAACCTTTTAACTATTTTGATTCTTATATATAGGTTTATGTCATGGAGTTCCCTAAAGCCATTGCTAAATTAGGACCATTGCATAAAAGAATACAAGGTGATGATGTTCCATTGGTAAATAAGTCCAAGTATGGTATGTCTTTTGATTTATTCGAATTCTTGGGCTTTCTAGAACACCTAAAGTATTTTTGGAGGTAATGAACTACACTATTATTTCTTATGTTGGTGACTTTATTGTTTTTTTGGATGGTGATATTTTGATGCATATCAAGCCATTAACTTCTCTACCCCACAGGCTAGGGGTAAGGTCTGCGTACACACTATCCTCCCCAGACCCCATTTTTGGGATTATACTTGGTTGTTGTATCAAGTCATTAAGTGTAATATCTAAGTTCAAAAGCAAGAGTAATTTGCTTCCTTTTGAATTGAGTATGACATAGATGATTATGTATTCCAACTTGGTGGAAAGAGGCATGAAATTTATGAGAAGAGACTTGTGAATGGGTTAAATGTTTCTTCTTCTTTTATTCAACTGTCTAATGAGTTTTCATGTGATAAATTGCTATAATGTGATTTTCGTTGTGTAATGGGAAGCCAATGACTCAAGGGAGCATGTCAATGACTCATCATGCACTTCTTCGTCATCTAATTGCATACAAGGTATGGTGCACAGTACGGAATATCTTTGGAATTGAATCAACAATGCTGCGGCCTAAGCCATTTGGTGCACATGTGGACAGTATGGATGGAAAGGAATAGAAGATCAATGGAAGGAACTGGAAACTCTTCTATAGATATTAGTAGAACATTCTTAGTACACTTTTGGGACACTTTAAACCCAACTACTATAGATGAATGGATGTCACAGAGAATCACATTTTGTATAGGATTCTCTCCTTTCTTCTATACACCTGGCATGCAGTGCAGTTCCCCCATCATACATGAAAAAAAGCATTTACCTAAAAAGAAGACAGGAAGACCATTTTGATAAATGAATTTAAAAGCACTTAATTCCGAAAAAAGGACCACTACTTGTGCAGTGTAAGTAGTCACTATCTTCAACATATGTTCCATGTACGAATGGTAGAAAATGAAATTAGCACTAAGATATCACGTCCAACTTGCAAACCAAATATCAAGGAAAAACAAAAGCAGATACATCAAGAGACCTTACCACTAGATCCCCTCGAACTCCAGCTTCCTCTATAGCTTCACGAATAGCTGCATCCTCGACAGATTCATCATTTTCCCAACCACCCTATTTATACAAGATGTGCCAGAGATGTCAATAGCAGCACCAGTAAGGTACTCATCCTTGTGATCTTTACAACAAGATCAAACGAACCAAAGGAGTCACTCAAATTTATTCAGCAATATCACATGACTTCAGAAAGCCCAAAAGTAGACACCAGGAAGAACACTTGAATTAAAAGAAAAGAACAAAAAGTATGGCAACCAACAAGTTATGTGGCACTCATGCTTTTAAAAAAAAAAAAAACAGAAGTATGAGCACAAGTGTTAATCTTTGACAAATGCATAACCAGTGTGTTATAAAATTTCATATGCAGCACAATCTAACCAGGTTAAATGGTTGAAGATGAAGGACGTTAAATATCGGTACGGCATTTTACCAGAACATACCTAAGTAGAGAACCGTCACCAAACTTCAACAAAAATAAAATTGTAACTTTGGTGTTTTAAACTTAATAAGAATCAACTTCACACCATGATAAGGATAAAATAACTAGATCCATCAGGAAATTAAACCAGATAACATCAGTTAATTCTGGCCAGAAAAAGAAAAGGCATTATAATCATTACAATTTCAATAGGATAATGCTGAAAACCCAAATGCACTAACAATTCCCACCTTTGGGAACAGAAGACCAGGCCCACTTGTCGAGTTTATCATCAGTACTTCAACTATCTTCTCAGCCGTCTCACCACCATTTTCTTCCATATTTCTGAACCTAAATGGAATACACCTGCAAGAATTCTATTAGTCAAAATTCGGATTAAGGAGATTATGAGAAGATACTTTTAAATGCAAACCCAGGATATAGTAAAGAAGTAGTTGCTCATAACTTCCTAATGCTTTAGAAGAAAAGATTATTTGATAACCAGAATCTATAGATGATGTACCAATACCAAAAGAAAGATATAAAATGATGTATATCTATAGAAGATGTACCAAGAACAAATAAATGATTCAAATGATGTATTCTTACATGTGAAAAAAAGAGTCTTTCCAAAAAAGTTTGAGAAAGAGAACTCCAGAAACTAAAACCAACAAATTTGACTTAACCATTGGACCCAAAGAAACCTACAAGGTTCCTTAATTATTGTGATCGCTCTTTGCCTTCCACCTGATTCTTACTCTTTTCAATTTTTTGACTTTTCAACATTGCCGCAGTTCAACCATTCCTCTATTAGATTATTTTCTCCTGCTCTATTCACTCCTTCACTCATTGTCCATAATGAATATTCGACCCGAGTCCTCTGCTAGAGCTCCAGCCGCTTCCCATAGAGAGGATAGATCCAATATAATTCTTCTTTTCAATATTTTGTTCATCCAAAATGAAGTCTTTCTTTGCTATTCATCAATGTCAAATGAATTATTCACAAGGAACGTTCAATGCATCTCTAACAAAATATATTTTCCCATTTTAAACAAGGACGAGGTAGACATAAAATCACATTTTGAAAAATTCTTGAAAGACCTAATATCTCATGAATCCATGTAGACCTAACGAAAAATATCGTATAATGGAAGAAACGTTATATGTAGGCAATTAGTTGGGATTAAGTTTTAGTCATATTAGCATGTTTACTTAGTCCCTTGCTTTCTAGGAGTCCAGTAGACTTGGCAGAGATTTATATGCCAGTCGAAAAAATATAGAAAGCTTCTCGTGTTCTTTACTTTTATCTCTAATTTTCTCATATAAAATAGTGGACTAGGATGATCTTAAATGGAACGACAAGGGCAGTTAGGATTCATATAGGAGACCTCAACTTTCTTGGGATTGAGGCATAGCTTTTGTTGTTCAAAAAAGTATTTTGATAGAGATGCATTTAACATTCCTTGCAAATAATATATTAACATTAATAAACAGAAAAGAAAGACTTCATTTTAGATAAACTAAGAGAGGATTGAGGCAGAATAATTTATCACATCCTGCTAATAAGTATTTTATTTCTAATCAAGAGAAGAACACCAAACTGTACAAGCAGAAGCTGACCACCAAACTACACTAACTTCAATTACCATTCTTGCAGCTATATTCCTTTGAGAAGCAATATGAGAACTATAACAGTTCCACTATCAACCTTACCTATCCTATACCATGAAGGTTCATGCTTGATTCCTATATCTACAGGATAAAGAGTACCCTCTGAACCACTACCTCCATTGATGTAACGAGAATTAATGGCCTTGAACCATAGAGCAATTTGAAGTTGTAAACCGGATCAATTTGAAGCTGTAAACCCTTTCTACTCCTACAAAACTTTTTGGCACATATGGAACTTAACCATGATACCTTTTAGAGCATCAACAGGGTTTACTATCTAGTGAAACAACTACAAGTTCAGCTTTGAACTTATTAAATCCAAATTTCATGGGTTTTAGCTAGTATTTCTTGTGTTGGGTAGAAGGGGAGTCTTGGCACAAAGGTAAAAGTTGTGGTCGTGTGACCACGAGGTCACGGGTAGCCGTAGAAACAGCCTCTTGCAGAAATGTAGCATAAGGCTGCATCATAAGACCCAACGTAGTCCGGCCTTTCCAAGGATCTCGCGCATAGCGGGAGCTTAGTGCACCAAGCTGCCCTTTTTTTTCCTTGTGTCAAGTTTCGCCTTAAAGGTCAAAGTCAGAATTCGATTCAACTAACTTAGCACATACTTGTTGGAGAATTTTGCTCCATAAAGCCAATCTGCTACAATTATTTTAGTAGAGCAGGTTCTTATGGCACTGGTGCCTTCCAAAGAGTCCGACAGCACCCTTTTTCCCACCCTTTTGCCCAGAAGACCAACTATCCCTTTTAAGGAAGAACACCAAAAAGCCTATTGTTACCAACACGGCATGAAGAGCTCCATAACTACTCTCAGATTCTGATCCTTTAGGCCTACACGTAGTTTACCTAGGCAACTTAAAAGGCTCAGCTGCAGTTAAAATGCAAAATTCTATGGTTATGTCTGATTCTGCTCCATTGCAAAATTCTATGGTTATGTCTGATTCTGCTCCATTCAGCATTACGAATAGAAAAAATAGAAATAGAGCAGTCAAGAAGGTCAATCGTTGAGTCTATGCAAAGCAGGAAATGCCTATATGTCAATATCACATATAAGTATTAATGACCCAGTTAATCTTATCATACCCCTCCCTTCTGTCACATGTTACTTTCTGTAGGATTAAATCAAAATTACCTTTTGACAAATTCAAATTAATATCTCTTATCAATGACAGACCAATCTTTTGTTGTCACACCTAGTGCTCTCTTGTTTTTATACAGTGAATGGTTAAAATACAACACTTTACATAGCTATTCAAGGTGCATACATCGACAAAGAAATGAGCGAGGAGGCAATCTCTCAACTAGACCAATCAATTAGTCCTTTTTCTGCCACATTCATCAGCTGTAACCGCCACTGCTGATGTTTTCTGTGGAATCACAACACCGAGCTGATGGTGATTGGACGGGTGGGAGTTATCTAATATTAGCAAGTACGCTTTGACATGGTGATGAAACCAAATGAAATGATCAGTTAACATGTCTTGTACCGAATCTATAAACATGAAGCGGGTTGTGACTGATCTCATAAGCCACTCTTTCTTTCTTTTTCATCTTTTTTCCTTTTTTGACGAGTGATCTCAGGAGAGATGTTAAAAGGGACAAGTTTGGAGACCTCAGGATCTAGAGTAACGTTAATGGGAAGGATAAGGAGTAGCTCTCTTCTAGTTGACATAGTAAAAAGGAGACTCATGAGAAGACACTATGAGATTAAAAGATTATTTGATCCCTCTGAAGGTTCTCCAATGACTGACTGACCCAGGTCTTATCATATTCCTACCCAAATGATGTTTTGATGGACTTTTGGCAAAATAAAAACATAAATTAAACTGAGACCAAGTTCAAGTTGGCTCCGCTAATCCTATTCCAAATTTCCAACTTCCCAATAGTCTTTCTTCTTCTTTTCATCTCCTCAATATTTGCTTCTTTCCACAGTTCCTCATACCCTTCAAAACACCATATATGATTTTGTTTAATTAATCTAGTCTGAAATGGACTACTAAGGGATCTAATCATCTGTTGGCATAGCCCATAGGAAGAGCTTAAGAAGGCCAAAAGAGAGTCCGGAAAACCATTCCTCCCCGCATATGGTAGACAATATGGGAAAGGAACTAGAGGTTTTTGAACGAAAAGTTAACACCATTTTGGAGATCAAAGTCAATTGTATACTTTTGTGTAGGATGAAGTACGTGAATGAGGCGAGTTTTTAGTCAATATTATCCCTTATCTTTGGGAGTAGGTCTAATTTTGTCCTTCATCTATCACCTTGAGCACTTATTGTCCTCTAACTTTACCAAACTTGAGCAGTTTTAGTTTACTAACAGAAAAAACAAACAAAGAGCACCAAAACTAACGGTAAATCCAGTGGCTTTTGCTAACAGGATAGTTAAGACAAAAAAAAAGACTTAACAAAATGTTCTTCCCCCACTCCCTCCCCCCACTCCCCGAAATAAAAGTTCTCGTTAATAGTATAGCTTTGTAGTCTTCGTCTTCAACTTCAGCTCAAATATTCTTCAACTACATTCTTCAAAAGTTTCTCCATAAAATGATTTAGTTTCACGGCATCAAGACAATGTTGTGTTTCAATAGTCTTAACCAAAAACTTCAGCAACATAATATTCATTAAAAATAAGAGTAGCTTTTCTCACCAAAAATTCTACAAATTGAACAAAATTGACACCATAAACACTTATAGATTCAGGCAGAGGACAAAACCAGTTAAATTGACACCAGAAGCACTTCACATATTGGATAAATTGACACTACAAATATTCGCCACCAAAACCATTGCAGTCACATCAGTAGGTAATAATCGTTGTCGCCAACCAAGTTTGCCATTATGTTGCAATTCCAAGGTTATAGTTTGCTTTTAAAAAAAAATTGATGTTGCTTGGTTACTGTGAGAAAGAACTGCATTGGGGGAAGAAAAGATTGGGAAAGAAAACTCAAGATGGGTGGATCTGTTATGTGAAACCCGTTAATTATGGTGCTCTCCGTTTGGTTTTTATGTTAGTAGACTAAAGCTGCTCAAGTTTGGTAAAGTTAGAGGACAATAAGTGCTCAAGGTGATAAATGAAGGACCAAATTAGACCTACTCCTAAAGATAAGGGACAATTTTGACTAAAAACTCTGAATGAGGCTGAAACCTTGATAGATTTCATGAGTTCCTTACAGGATTAAGAAGAATTGACTTTTGCTTTTGATGTCACATCACAGCACCACCTTAGAGCTGTCTCTGTAATAAAACTTACTTGATTAAAGAATACTACTCTTCAAGAAGCAACCTAGAATGAACAATGCCCATCACATTTTCACAAGGTCTTTATAGTTCTTGGAAACAAGCATAAGAAAGAACTTCCACTGTTACAACGACTTTCACCTCTATCACACAAATCCAAACCCAAACATCATCTTTATAAATTCACAACCAATTACACAAAGGAGAAGAAAGAAAGAAAGAAAGAATAGCAACATTCTTTTGCACATTTCTCTCTATCAATCCTCATAATATGGATAAACAAGGAAGACAGCTAGGTCACAGAGGAGCTCCACATTCAACCAGATTTCACTCATTATGAGGAAATCAAAAGCACCGTAATCAGAAGAAAAGAGGAAACTTGAACCCAAACTCCCACATTCAACAAAATTTACCAAAAACAGACAAAACCCAATTCAGCAAACACCAAAACAAATCAAAGCAAGCAAAAACAACTACATAACTAAAAGAGGAAATTTGGAAACCAAACTTCAACATTCAGCAAACTTTCCCTAAACCAAATAAAACCTAATTTAGCAAAAACCAAAATAAACGAGAAAATACCCGGCGATAAGGCGATAACCAGCCTCATATCGCTGCTGATGCCGACCAGTCCGAGCCACCAATTCAGACATTTATGTTCCCAAAGTAAACAAAAAAATTACTAAAATAAATCTGCTAGTCTTATCACAATCCTCGGCTAAATCCAATGTAACAAAAAGCCTTTAACCATTCTTGAACTTTCCCTTTTCTTGTAAAATTCCCTCTGCGTTGTACTCAACCCGTTTCTCCTTCATAAACAGCCATAATATTGCTCCATTTCCTTTGTTTGTTTGTGAAAAATTTTGAAAGGAAGAATAAAAACAAAGGTAATGGAGGTACAGAGAGAGAGAGAGAGAGAGAGAGAGAGAGAGGCAAAGAAAGACGGTGCTAAAAGCAGCTCATGAAACGGAGCAACAGGGGGGTTATGTTGGTACGCTCAGAGTCGGTCAATTTTCGTTCCAGGTCGGTTACAACCTTCCAATGGTTTGTTGAACTTACTTTAATTAAATGACATAAATACATGTCATTTCATATAAGAACAACAGGATTGTACCTCACAGTTGTTTGCCAAGTTTCAAAAATCTAACTTATTTTGAGAATTACTTTTTTTCAAAAATATTTTTATCAAAAGTATTTTTAGTGATAAGCAATTTGTAATTAGCTAATTAATTTAAAAAATATTTTTGAGCAATTAGTGTTTGGTCAAGTTTTTAAAATATGTTTTTAAATGTATTTTTCTCAAAAGTGCTTTTCAAAAAAAAATATTTTTGGGGAGAAGCTATAATTTTTTGCTTCTCTAAAACTGCTTCTGTCTCTACTCAAAAGCACATTTTTCTTCTAAAAGCTTGACCTAATACTTCAACTTTGAAAAAAAAAATATTTTTTTGAAGAAAAAAAAGCTTTTGGATTTAGAGAAACTCGGCCAAATAGGTTATAGGCTTCATCGCCCACACCTTAAAGGTTAAGTGGGCTTTTGGACATAGAATTGTGAAATTCCGGAAGTAATAAAAAATTCAAGTAAAAATGATATTTGAAAATTAGAGTTGTGTTTGGACATGAATACAATTTGGAGCTGTTTTTGAATTTTTGCGAGTAATTTGAAGTGAAAATGTTAAAAAACTGCTTTTTGGAGTTTTTTAAATATCCAAAAATAAAATTTTCATGGCCAAACGGGCTCTCCCTTTTCTTTTTGGGAGAGAAGTTTTATCCTTTTGAACAATATGGTCTTTTGTTTTACAAATTTTCCTTTTAAGATTTCTTTGGAGTTTTTTCTTACTATAGTTTTTTTTTATGTGAGATTCCGGAAAAATGAGAATAAAAAGTAAATTTGAATCACTACCGTATCCCAAAACTAATTTTTTTAGCTATGCATTACACACCTTATGTGGATCTAGCTTTCAACAGCGTAAAACACATTATGAGAGATGTTGAAGGGGGCTGGTTGCTCCGTTATATGCTGCAAATGGGACATGTATGGAGGATGGCCTCTGTCACGCCCCGACCTCGAGGAACGCGATCGGCGCTCAACCGAGATAATCCGGTCGAGCAAGCCTCCTAGATTTCCTTCTACCCAACTCACCCATAAATAATGAGAATACAAACTTCATTTATTAACATCAAGAGGGTTCATGAACAACACGAATTCCATCACCATTAGTCACTTTAAACCAAAACATCTATTCAAGCACTTGGAAATACTACATGAATATGATGAATCATGGTAACAATCATAGGGCTTAGATAGCCATAAAAGTCAAAATAGATTTATTAAGAACTTCCAATAACACTTATAAATTTCAAATCGGGAATCCTCTACAACTACCTTTACACAGAGCGGGCTTGACACCTCACCCCAATGTATGCGGGTGGAGGTGCATCACAATACAAGAAACTCTACAAAAAGCGGCCCTGCCGCATCACCTGTTACATCTCGCGTTTTCGTACGTTGAAGTTTCGTCTTTAGTTACTCGACGTAGACTCGGGGATGAGATTATTTTTGAGGTTATAAGCATTTATGCTACTTATAACAGGCGACAAGTAAAGTGCCGTAAAGGTTAAAGGGTAAACGAATCAAAGAAGATGGGTTTCGTTGAAGATTGTCGATTTGGGATAAAATACGGTCTGAGCTGTAATACCCGGTATTTATGGACTAGTGCCATACAATGTACTACATGACCATGATAGTAAGGTGTATAAGATATGTTAAAAAGTGAGTAGTATTTTAAGTAAGTTGAGGTAATTCTTAATTATTGGGTAATGCCCCCCCCCCCCCC